CCTTGTTGTCTCGGATTCTCCAGCATCTGCAGTTCCTACTATCTCTGCATATGTACATAAGTCATTTAAGACAGCAGGACATATGCAGATAACTATTGATAAAGCAGACAGTATCTTAGGCTTCATTAATCAGGGCATAGTGTACCAGAGCAAAAAGGCTATGAATATGTGTAAGACATTGGTTAGATCTCAGCTGGAATATTATGAACGGTACTGGGTGTCACTATAGGAAGAATGTGAATATGTTGGCAAGAGTACAGAAGAAGTTTAAGTGAATGGTCCCAGTGATTGAGATGCTGCATTCTTGAGGAAAGATTGGAGAAGTTGGGTCTGTTTTCCTTGGAAAGGCAAAGGCCAAGGAGATTTTAATATCTTACAAAGCTACGAGGGGTTTGGACAGAGTTGATAGGAAAAAAATGGATCGAGAACCAGAGGACAGTTTTAAAATTGTTCTGTAAAAGAAGTAAGCACGTGGTGAGAAGAATGTTTTCTCACAGTGGGTAGTTATAATGTGGAATGCACTGCCTGGAAGTGTAGTGAAGGGTGGTTCTATTGAGGCATTCAACAGCACATTATTTCTATTTAAATAATAATCCATTAGAATCTCTACAATTTTGAAGAAGGCCATTCAGACCATTGAGCCTGCACTGAATATCTGAAGATCCCACCCAGGCCCAGTACCCATCCTATCCCCAGAACCCTGCATTTACAATGGCTAATCTACCTAATCTGCGCATTTTTGCACGGTGGGAGGAAACTAGAGCACTCGACGGAAACCCACACAGTCACGGGGAGAACGTGTAAACTCCACACAGTCCTCAGCCTGGAATCAAACCTCGATCCCTGGCGCTGAGGCAGCATGCTAACCATTGAGCTACCATGCTGCCACATTGTACAGGATTAATGAAAAAAGGCTGGAGTTTAGCACTAAGTTAAAATGCTCAGAAAGCCAGTACAGCCACGATGGGCCAAATGTCCTCCTTCTGCACCAGAACAATTCTGTAATTTGGTTGGGGTGCATGAATTGTGCTTGCTGTGGAAGCTGCTTGCACAGGCTGCAATTGTGACGTTGACATAACACAGTGCTGTGCACCTTCCTGACATCTTTTGCTGCCTGGCTTTGTGTTTGTGCTAAAAAGAAAGTCAAGATAGAGTACTGTGAACCGATAGGTTCTGACTGAGGCATCAAAGGCAACGCAAAGGTAAGATGCTTTGAGTATTCAAGCAGATGCAATGTGAATAGGGCCAAAGAAAGAAAGTAAAGAACCATGAGATGCACCATGTTCTGCGAATGAGATGGGCGTCTGTCGCTGCACAAAAGTGGCCTGGCAACAGCAGAGTTATGAGTGATGTCAATGAGTTCCAAAGTGCAGTATTGGAGTAGTGGAACAACATTATTGAGCCAATCAGCTGATGCTTGTCCAGTGTCAACCTTCATGGATGAAAGATGCAGGCGGTCACCGCTTATGGAGCATGCCCTGAGATGTTGGAAAATTCTGTACATAGTGGAGGTCTGGAGAAGGTGCTGGCGAGCTGCAGCTGCCAGGTACCCATACAGACTTTCATGTTGAGAAGTGTAGCTTCTAGTTTCTGTCCACTTCCTGCGAAAATAACAAACTGGATATAAGTGAAGTGGAATTAGGTAATAATGAAATTTTAATGCGCTCACAGGCTTCCCATCACTCACTAGTGACATTCTTATCTAGCTGCTAAAACCTTTTGTGCAAAATTGGACTTTTCTTTCATGATTTTGACAATCTAACTTTTCCATCCTTACTATATTTTCCTGACCAACACGTCATTACCCATGTCATTCAGCAGCTGGGGAAAATTTCACCCATATTTTCTGTGTATTTTCAGGAGTTTTTGTATTTGCTTAAAGTATGGACAAATTCTTGCAAGCTCTATTTTCTTCATATCTTAGATTCATAGCTGGGTCAACTACGAGTCTATGCTGAAAGAATGCCTTGTAGGAAGAATGGCTTCAAGACCTAAAGCTGTGGCTGAAGGTAGTTTTCATTTTCTTACTGTATTAGAAATTGAACCAATCCCAAAAGTAAAACCATGGCATAAAAAAGTAAAGTAATGAAGAAATTAAGTGTCCCATTGACTGTAACTACAAGAGCAGGTCAGGGACTAGGAACCCTCAGCGCGTAACTCACCTCCAGACTCTCCAAACACTGTCCAGCATCTACAAGGCACAGTCAGGAGGGTGATGGAATACTCCCCACTTGGCTGGATGCAGCTCCATCAACAGTGAAGAAACTCCATACCTTCAGGACAAAGCAGCCCACTTGATTGGCACCACATCCACAAACATTCACTCTCTGCAGCACCAATGTTCACTTGAAACAGTGTATGTCATCCTCAAGATGCACTGTTGCAGGTCACCACAGTTCCTTCGACAGCACCTTCTGAATCTTTGACTTTTATCACCTAGAAGTGCAATGAGAGTCGATACGTGGGAACACCACCAGTTGCAAGTCCCCATCCAAGCCATTCACCATCCTGACTATTGCCGTTCTGGGTCAAAATCCTGGAACTGCCTCTGTAATGGCATAGTGGCTCTGTCTACACCTAGTGGACTGCAGTAGTTCAAGAAGGCAGCTCACCACCTTCTCAAAGGCAAATAGGGGTGGACAATAAATACTGACTTAGCCAGAGATGCCCACATCGCCTGAATAAATACATTTTTAAAATATTCATGTTACTGTGCATTTAATGTACCTGGGCCTATTGGTATATGATTTCCTACAGACATCCAAGAGCAGCAATGAGAGGAGCACAAGTTACTGCTGAGTATGTATCCCAACATGTGAGGATGTCTACTCCATTAAATCTGTAATAATTATCAAAGAGAGAGAGAGACCACTGGATATCCCAAAATGTTTTACTGTCACTTAACTCCTTTTGAAGTGTAGTCATTATTATAATATAAGAAATGCGGCAGCTAATTTCCTCACAATGTACTTCCACAAACAAACAATGTGATAGTCGTTAAATAATGTTTCTTATGTTCATTGAAGGATAAATATTACCCACACTACCAATAATAAAGTTGCTCATAAATAAGAAGCTTGTTTTTCTTTCTCAATACTGTTTGTCTTAAACATTTTACTGGTAATATCATTTGGCCAGAATCCCCAGCTACAATGTGTTAATTATACCATTGACTCATTCTTTTAATCTAACTTAGTTATTTTTTGTTTTCTATGTAAATATTAACCAGGAGACATGGGAGCTTGAAGTCGAGAGGATGCATTAGTGGTTGAATAAGAGTTTGCATCACAGTCAAAGCTTAGATCTTCTTTAAACTGTGAACAGATTCATTAAATGTCCTGTACTGACACCTTTAGTTCAGCAGAACAGCCTATTACTGAAGGAACTAATGATATCTATATGTACACAAATGTTGTAATAGATATGTTGCTTACGGTATGTATTGTACATGTTTCTTATTGGCTGGTTACTTTAGATTTTCGGCTTTACAAATGTTGTATAAGCTGCCCAAATGCCAACTATTTATTTATTCTTTCCTTCATCACATTTTTATGTATTTTCTAAATTTTACCGACCTCTACTTCCCATTTCCCTTCCATACTCTCTACTATGGCATAGCATCCTCTCCCCTATACTTTATCCCTCACCCCTTCAATATTCAACTGGTGCAACTTGTTGTTTCGATGGGCATGCCAGAAGGCTACAAAAACAAAGTTGCTGGAAAAGCCCAGCAGGTCTGGCAGCATCTGTGAAGGAAATAATAGAGTTAATGTTTCGTGTCCGGTGACCCTTCCTCAGAAGGTGAACCTCGGAAAACAAACTTCAGTGTTCTCGACGAGCTAGTTTGGAGGGTTAGTAATGTAACTTACCTAATTCTCCTGATTGCAGGAAGAAAAATCAATTTTGTCACATGAACATGTTGAAGCTATATCATCACAGGGAAGAAGATAAGAAAGAGCAAGTGTGTCAAGTGGTTAGAGTAGTGGAGGATGAGCGAGACACTGAGTGAGGTAGAAGGAAAAGTAGTCAATTCACAAAGCAAGCTGCAGTTTGACTAGCCAGTATGAAAATAGTGTGACAGGGGGCGTGGTGTTCTCGGATTTCGAGGAAGGACAACAGGAAGATCTGATAAGTCTACTCTGGAGTATCAGGAAATCTGTAACAAGATACCTGGATGTATAATGTTAGCTAGACATGATGTGGACATTAAGGGTTCGATGCTGATGAAACAATGTCCTTATCAGTTAAGCCAGGTGAGCAAGCTCATTTGGATATGAAGATTCAATACGTGCTGGAAAATTGCTTAATTGAGGCTACTCGAAGCAGCTGGGGTTCACCAGTTCCTAAGCTTGATGGATCAACTAGCTTCTTTTCAAACTAATGGAAAATAAATGAAGTAAAGAAAACAAATTCCTATCCAATTCCTCAATTAGAACATTGTATTGACAGAGTTGGCAGTGCCTTTTTTTTTTTGTAAAAATTTATCCATTGAAGGTGTACTGGCGACTATCACTCATTTTTAACACTGAAGAAATATCCTGTTTCGTTCCATCCAAAGAATGTCAATTGATGCTATTTAGTTTGAAATGCCTCGGCTACATTCCAGAGATTTATGAATCCAGTAGATGGAGCACCTAACTGTGTAATTTATTTGAAGAATGTCATACTATACAGTACACTAATATACCCATGGGAAGAGCATGTATGGCAACTGGAGAATCTGTCCAAGCAATTGCAGTTACTAGCTTTGGAATCAATCTGGGCAAAAGTGAATTCACAAAAGCAAGAAAAACTTACCTAAGACATATTGTGAGATGAATGTAAATACTGCCAAGAAAGGCAACATTGAAGGATCTGATTGAATCCTCTACTCCTAAAAGTAAACAGAAATCATGAGACTTTTAGGAAAGTCTGGGTTTTATTTGAAATTTGTGTCTAACTTCAGCACAATAGCTTTACTTTTTAATACATTTGTCGTGGAAATCAGCAGAAGTGATATGGTCAGAATGCCAAGCTGTCTTTGAGAAACTGAAAGCATCCTAATAAATGTACCAGTATTGGCCACCCTGGCTTTACCAAACCTTTTAAAAGAGCATTTGATGCCAATGGGGGTAGGTGCATTTGTATTAAACAGAGAAACCAGTGGTGTACTTTTCTAATTAATTAAGCTAATGTCAGAGAAGGTCCTCTCTAGCAGAAAAAGAAATTTTGGTATTATTATTGGCACTTCAACATTTTGAAGATTATGCACAGCAGGGTTATAATGAAATAAAAACATCTATACTGACTGTAATCACTGAAATGTTTTAAACCCAAAAATATGACATTGTCTAGATGGAGTTTACTTGTTCTTCCATTAGGTGTAAAGATTTTTCACATTACTAGTAAAAATAATGCGGGAGTAGACACATTGTCCAGAATGTAAAAACGATGGAATAAGTTATGATTTAAAGAACAATGATAAAGATCGAGTAGACTTGTATAAAGGATGAATAGATTTAAGTTGCATGCTTTGTTGTCTATGTCATATATCTTGAGATAAAACATTTATTGGTTGTGTCAAGACCACTTTTATTTTTTGAACAGTAGACAAAATAATTGGGAAAAGATGCAGTTTTAAACCAAAGAAATTATGAAAGAAGATTTACGGTTTTAAAACACAAGTTACTTGAATTCATTGTGAGTTATTTATATACACAATATTGACTTATTCAAGCAGTGGGGGTGGATGCTAGACATGTTGGCTCCTGTTCAGGGCAGTTTTGCTCAGAGAATATCCTTTCGTTTTTCAGTTGACCAGTTTCGTGGTTTTGAGAGATCAGCATATTGACAACTTCTTGATAGGTTGCTCAGCCAGCAGCTAAAGCCTTGCATGTGGACAATAGAGCAGAGACATCTAGTCTACAAACAGAAAATGCCTCAAACTCTCTATCCCCTTCCAATGTAGAGAAAAGTTTCCCATTAGCTGTTCTCAGATACCATTATAAACTACAACTTGCCAGCTAACAGGAAAAATACCTTCAGAACCAGTGGCAAATTCATAACCAGTGAATGAAAGGCAATATTGATGTGCTAGCGATCTCATCTCATCAAAGAACTGAAAGGAAGCAGAAGGAACTGAAAGAAGACAACTTGTCAACTCTGTGGTCCAGATTGGTGTGATCAAACTGTTTCTCCCTGTTTTCTCCCCCCTCTTTTTCCACCTATAAAAAATTTGCCTTGTCTCTTCATGCTTTTGTTTGTATGTATGTGGGAATTTTATAAAGCAGTGAAGTTTAAGTATAGTGGTATAACTTAGCAATTCGTGTTTCTTTCTTGCCATTGATTGAAAACAGATTAATTACAATAAACAGTTTCTTATTAATAAAAACTTGATGTGGATGGTCTTTTAACTTGAACTAGATAATCAGGTAAAATTGGGTAATTTGGTGCTTTAAACAAGTTTGTTTCAACTCTAGGAATGGTGGGGCATGCTCTCCAATGCACTGCCCAAATGAGTTGCGATGGTAGGTTTTTGAGAACATTGTTATCTTCCAGTTATTATAGTGATATCTACCGTGTTCAAAGATCAGAGATTGCAATTTTTGGATGCACGCAATATTTCTAATGATCCATATCAAAGTTAAAGTTTGCATTTGGGACACACATTATCTGTTTTTGGGTGAGCGAGCTTGTCTGTATTTGTATGTGTGGATGGTGATACCTTTTAGGTTTTCAATTCATTAATTTCAAAAATCTGAATCATGCTGTGACTCCATTGCTTCCCTGACCCGATGTGAATCTGAGCTCGTTATCCTGTTATAATTCAGTGTTTGGAATGCTGTAGCTATGCCTTCATGCATTAATTTCTTTGCATTCTAAGTGTTAAACCTTTTTGAAACATGTCAATGTCTGTTCACCTGTAAAGTCCTGACACCAAAGATATTGAAGGCAAACAACAGATGAAATAAGATGAGTGATATTATGAAGTTGAAGTAGATGCTGTTGATACTGTAGTGGTTATAGAGTCATAAGAGTCATACAGCATGGAAACAGACCCTTCAGTCCACCCAGCCCATGCTGACCATAATCCCAAATTAAACTAGTCCCATCTGCTTGCTTTTGGCTCATATTACTCCAAACAATAATTGTTCATGCACTTATCCAAATGTCTTTTATACATTGTAATGGTTATGAGGTTGGAAGCTCAATTTGGAGTCAAATAGAAAGCCAAAGTCGTAAATGGTCTGGTTTGTCTCAAACAGTGGCTAGGTATCGGGCTAGAGACAACAGCCTGCAAATGGAGTTTGCTGATATTTAATTTTACAAGTGACCCTTCATTGTATGCTTCATTATTTCAACTTGTAGCAGCTTTGTGTGTAACGTTATGCTATTGTGCTGTTTCCATCACCCATCAACAGTGGATAGAATGAGACAAGTAAGTCTGTTGATTGTGCTGACATTGTATCCAAACAGCATGATTGGCAGCACTCCCGCCTACTTACACCCAAGAAACCTCCTGAGCAGCAAGAAACATCAAATAAAGAAACAATTTGAGGATCATTCAAGGAAAACAGCATAATTCGGAGAAATTTCCTTCTTTCATATATTTTTCAGATTTTGTTTCCAGAATTAATTGAAACTGACATCTTACAGCAATAATGTACAATGTCAATTTTCTGTATGTCATTGCATTGCTTGTGAAGCTGTGAAGCTATGAATAATTTTATCTTTCTATTTTTCTCTGTAGTTTTTGAAAATCAGTCTGGTTTAAAAGCGCCAAAGCAGAAGTTACTAAATGGTATGTAAAAAAAAAAAAAACTTGTCCCCAACCATAACAATCACCAGTTCATCATTTTATTTTGTGCTTAATAACGTCCTGTATTCGGATTTGATGTTACCCTAAGCAGACATTTCTGACAGCTTAATTGCAGGCCTTGCACTCTAAATGCGTTGAGTACTATTTTTCAGGATTAATTAATTGAATTCTTCTTTCTTACTCTGAAATTCTTCTGAACAGTTTTTCAGAATTGTTTATAGAAGAATTCAAATTAAAATTTCACATGTTTCATTCAATAAATATATATGGGGACTTTTTTAAAGCAAGTAATGGGTTTGTTCATAGGAACGTAGAAAATAGGTGCAAGTAAAGGCCATTTGGCCTCTTAAACCTGCTTTACCATTTACCTATATTTGTTTTATTCACTAATAAGATGTGGTTCCTTGTTGCCAAAAAAAAAGTGCTAGCCCAGCCAGTCTTGCCCACATCCCATGAGTGAATAAAACAAAACAACTATCCCCATATCCCATGATGCTGTTAGTATCTAGAAATTTAACTGACTCTGCCTTGAATGTACTTAAAGATTGAGCCTACACAACCCCTTGGCATAGAAGATTCCAAAGTTTTACCACTTTCTGAGTGAAGAAATTCTTCGACGTTTCAGTCCAAGCTTGTTTGCCCCTTATTTTGAGACTGTATCTCTGAGTTCAAGATACCCCAACCAGGGGAAACATTCTTCCCGCATTTACCCTGTCCAACTCTTAAGATTTTTATGTGTTTCATTCAAACACTTCACCTTGTAAATAAATTTTGGAGATTATAGGCCCAGTTTCCTCATAGGACAATCCTGATTTCCCAGGAATTAGAGTCCATTATTGAGGAAGAGATTGTAGAGTACTTGGAAATGCATGATACATTAGGCTGACATGGCTATGTCAAGTGGAGGTCATGCCTGACAAATCTGTTAGAATTCTTTGAAGAGGTACCAAGCAAGTTAGACAAAGTCGAGCCAGTGGACATGATCTATTTGGATTTCCAGAAGGCCTTTGACAAGGTGGCGCATAGGAGGCTGCTAAATAAGATAAGAGCCCACGGTGTTAGGGGAAGATATTGGCATGGATACAGGATTGGCTGATTGGCAGAAAGTAGGGATAAAGGGGTCATTTTCAGGTTGTCACCAAGTGACTAATGGAGTTCTGTAGGGGTCAGTGTTGGGAGCACGATTATTTACATTATACATTCACAATCTGGACAAAGGAATTGAAGGCATTGTTGCTCAGTTTGCAGATGACACAGAGAGGTGGAAGGACAGATGGTGGGGAGGCTGCAGAAGGACACGGACAGGCTAGGAGAGTGGGCAAAGACGTGGCAGATGGAATACATTGCGAGATTAATTATTGCACTTTGGTGGAAGAATAAAGGCATGGACTATTTTCTAAATGGGGAAAGTCTTCAGAAATCTGAAGCACAAAGGGACTTGGGAATCCTAGTTCAGGATTCTCTTAAGGTCAACATGCAAGTTCAGTTGGCAGTTAGGAAGGCAAATGCAACGTTAGCATTCATTTCGAGAGGGCTAGAATACAAGAGCAGGGGTGAACTGCTGATGCTGTATGAGGTTCTGGTCAGACTGCATTGTTGTGAGCAGGTTTGGGCCCCGTATCAAGGGAAGGATGTGCTAGCCTTGAACATGATTCAGAGGAGATTTACCAGAATGATCCTGAGGATGAAAGACTTGTCATACAAGGAGCAGTTGAAGTTTGTGGGTTTGTACTCGATGGAGTTTAGAAAGATGAGGGAGGATCTCCTTGAAACTTACAGATACTGAGAGATCTGAATAGAGTGAATGTGGACAAGATGTTTCCATTAGTAGGACAGACCAGGACCCGTGGGCACAGCTTCAGGGTGAAGGGATGACCCTTTAGAACTGAGATGAGGAGGAGTTTCTTCAGCCAGAGGGTGGTGAATCTGTGGAGCCAAAGAAGGCTGTGGTGATCAAGTCATTGAGTGTATTTAAGACAGAAATAGATATGTTCTACGTTGGTAAGGGGATCAAAGGTTATGGGGAGAAGACTGGAGAATGCATTTGAGAAACATATCGACTGTGATCAAATGGCAGAACAGACTCGATGGGCTGAATGGCCTAATTCTGCTCCAATATGATCTTATGGAATTTGTCTGCGTCTTTGTTGCATTTCCTCTAAGAGACGTACATTGTTCCTTATGTAAAGAGACCAATACTGTACACAATACTCAGGTGCAATCTCAACAAGGCTCTATTGAAGCACATTAGGCATAAGGAAAAGGAAAAGGGAATTCTGACAGTGTTTTGACCAGGCTGCTGGGATGTGAACATTACTGGGTGGGCCATCTCTATTTCCCCTCAGAAGTTGAATTGTCTTAATGAATTTCTGCGATCATTTGGTGTAGATAGGCCCACATTACTGTTAGGGAGGGAATTCCAGGATTTTGACTCAGCAACTCTGAAGAAATGGTGATATACTTACAAGTCAGGATGGTGAGCAGCTTGGAGGGGAATATGTGATGTTGATTTTCCCATGTATTTGCTGCTCTTGTTCTTCTAGATGATAGTGGTTTTGGATTTGGAAGATGCTGCCAAAGAGGCATGCTGAATTTCTCCACTGCATCTCATAAATGCTACCGAATGTGGGAAGTAACAACAATGAATATTTGTGGATATTGTGTCAGTCAACCGGGCTGCTTTGTCCTGGGTACTGCCAAGGTTTTTGAGGATTTTTGCAACCGCACTCATCCAGCCAAACTGGACACTATTCCATCGTATTCCAGACTTGTACCTTGTGGGCAGGCATTAGGGAGTCAGGAGGTGAGTTACTCACTGCATGATTCTTAGCCTAGCTCTTGTATTCACAATATGTATATGGCTAGCCCTGTTCAGTTTCTGGTCAGTGGTGATCCCTAGGATGTTAATGGGGGGTATTCAATGATGGTAATGCAGTTGACTGCCAAGGGAAGATGGTTAGATTCACTTTTGCCTGGCATTTATATGGTACAAATGTTACTTGCCACTTGTCAGGGCTCATAGCCCTTGCAGTATCCATTGCCTCTTGCCATTTCTAGTTATCACATGGAGTGAATCAAACTGGCTGAAGACTGGTATGTCTGATGCTGGGGATATATGGAGGATGCCAAAATAGATCATAGATTCATACAGTACAGAAGAAGCCTTTCGGCCCATTGAACCTGTACACTAAAAAATACACTACTACTAGTACTACAACTACTAGAAATACATTAGTTCCACTTTACCACACTAGGCCCATTGGCCTGAATGGTATGACCCTTCAAATGCTTATCCAAGTACTTTTTAAAGGTTGTGAGGTTACCTGCCTTAGCTACCTCGCAGGCAATACGTTCCAGTTCCCCCACCACCCTCTGGGTGAAATTTATTTTCCTCAAATCCCATCTAAATTTCCTGCCTTTCACTTCAGAAATGAGTCCCTTTGTTCCTGACCCTTTGACTATTCATCCTGTAAATGCAAACAACCTGAGCTCATCCATAACAGAAATGTTCCATCACAGTCAATCTCCTGGTGAATCTCAGTTACACCCTCTCCAGTGCAATCACATTCCTTCATACAGTGCACACAGTACTCCCCAGTGTCCTAACCAAAGTTCTGAACAGCTCCAATATAACGTCATTGCTCTTATAATCTATGTCTCATCTGATCAAGGCAAGCATCCTAACTACCGTACTGTCCATCTACCTTCAGAGGTTAGTGGAAAAGCACCCCAAGATAAATCTGTTCCTCTGAACTTCCTAGTGTTCTGCATTCATTTGAGCACTCCCTCATCTTGTTGCTTCTTCCAAAGTGCATCACCTCACATATATAAGAATAAAATTCTATATTTATTAGTGTTTAAATTCCATCAGCTGCTCAGCACTTCTGGCTAAAGATTGTTACAAATGCTGCAGCCTTACCTCTTACACAGATGTGCTCAGCTCCCCCATTACTGAGGATGAGAATATTTGATAGATTGATTGATTGATTGATTTGACTTATTGCCAAATGTACCTAAGAACAATGAAAAGCTTTGTTTGTGAGCAATACAGGCAAATCATAATAAGCAAGAACATACAGATCATAGGGTTTAAAAAAAAAAAACTTTGACATATATGTTACACCACAAAGGACATGCACGAGGTGAGATCAACATTATTTGAGGTTAGAGAATCAATTCATCAGTCTAATAACAGTAGGGAAGAAGCTGTTCTTGAACCTGCTAGTGCATGTGTTCAAGCTTCTGCATCTTCTGCCTGACGGAAGAGGTTGTAGGAGAGCATTACCAGGGTGGTATGGGTCTTTGATGATGTTGGCAGCCTTTCCGTGGTAATGAGAAGTGTAAATGCAGTCCAGGGGTAAGAGCTTGACTCCCGTGATGATCTGAGCTATGCATACAACCTTCTGTAGGTTCTTACGATCCTGGGCAGAGCATTTGTCGTACCAGGCTGTTTTGCATCTAGAGGGTAGTGTGCTTTCTGTGGTGCATCTGTAAAAGTTGGTGATGGACCTTGTGGACATGCCAAATTTCCTGAGCCACCTGAGGAAGAAGAGGTGTTGTGCCTTCTTGACCATCGCATCTGTGTGGGAACTCCAGGGCAGGTCATTAGTTATCGTCATTCCTAGGAACTTGATGCTCTCAACCCTCTCAACCTCTGCTCCATTGATGTAGATGGGGGCGTGTTCTCCTCCTTTCTTTCTGAAGTCAATGATCAGTTCTTTAGTTTTGCCGACATTGAGAGAGCAAGGTTGTTGTCATTGCACCACATCACCAAGCCCTCTATCTCCTTTCTGTAATCAGACTCATTGTTGTTTGATATCCGTCCTACCACAGTGGTGTCGTCAGCAACCATCATTTGGAATTTGGCTACACAGTTGTGAGTGTACAGGGAGTACAGTAGGGGGCTGAGAACGCATCCTTGTGGGGCTCCAGTGTTGAGTGTTATCGTGGGGGAGGTGCAGTCGTCTATCTTCACTGCGGTTGGTGGGTCAGAAAGCTGAGGATCCAGTTGCAGAGGGTGGAGCTGAGACCTAGGTCTCAGAATTTTGAGATCAGTCTGGAGGGGATAATGGTGTTGAAGGCGGAGCTGTAACCGATGAGCAAGACTCTGACGTAGGTTGCCTTGTGGCCCAGATGTTCCAGGGATGAGTGCAGGGCTAGGAAAATCGCATCCACTGTGGACCTGTTACGTCAGGAGGCAAATTGTAGAAGATCGAAGCAGGCTCGGAGACTGGAGTTGATGTGGGCCATGACCAGCCTCTCAATGCAGTTTGTGATTATGGAGGTCAGAGCCACTGGGTGGTAGTCATTAAGGCACGTTGCATGTGCTTTATTAGGTACTGGGATGATGGTCTTCTTGAAGCAGGTAGGGACTTTGGCTTGTAAGAGGAACAGGTTGAAGAAGTCAGTGAATACCTGTGCCAGCTGGTCCACACAGGATCTAAGTGCATGGCTGGGGACTCTGTCCGGGCCTGTTGCTTTCCTTGGGTTGACTCCCAGGAAGACCAATCTGACGTGTGCAGCGGTGACAGAGGAAGCAGGGGTGTCTGGGCCTGTCAGGGCAGGTGATACTGAGCCGCTGGCGTTCTGCTCAAACCGAGCATAGAAAGTATTGAGCGCATCAGGGAGGGATGTGACTTTGTCTGCTATCTTGCTCTGCTTCATTTTGTATCCCATTATGTTGTTTAGACCTTGCTGTACCAGGCTGTTTTGCACTCAGTGTGGTGCACCTGTAAAAGTTGGTGATGGACCTTGTGGACATGCCAAATTTCTTGAGCCGCCTGAGGAAGAAGAGGCCTTGTGCCTTCTTGACCATCGCATCAGCGTGGGAATTCCAGGGCAGGTCATCAGTTATCATCATCCCTAGGAACTTGATGCTCTCAACCCTCTCAACCTCCACTCCATTGATGTAGATGGGGATGTGTTCTCCTCCTTTCTCTCCACAGGCGGCGGGAGTCCGTATGGTTGGCTTGGGCCTCTAACTTGCTCCATTGTTGTCTCTGATGGCTTTGCGGAGGTCATATCTGGATTTTCTGAATGGGTCTGGGTCATCCAACTTGAATGCTGCTTGTCTGGTCTTCAGTAGGGAATGGATTTCCCGGTTCATCCAAGGTTTCTGGTTGGAGAACACCTGGATTGACTTCTTTGGCACACAGTCCTCCACACATTTGCTAATCAAGTCCATGACGGTGGTAGTATGCTCATCTAGGTTTTCTCAGTACTTGAATACAGTTCAATCCATCAATTCCAAGCAGTCCCAGAGACGGTTTTCCATTGCCTCGGACCAGCGTTGCACTTCCTTTTGTGAAGGATCCTCCCGTTTCAGCTTCTGCTTGTAAGCTTTGAGGAGGAACACAGTACTGTGATCTGATTTTCTAAAGTGTGGACGGCGGATGGAGCAGTAGGCGTCTTTGGTTGTGTAACAATGATCCAGGATGTTCGGTCCTCTTGTGGGGCAGGAGATGTGTTAATAGTATTTTGGCAGCACTCTGTTGAGGTTGGCTTGGTTGAAGTCGCTGGCCATGATGAATAAGGCTCAGGGAATTTTTTCTCCAGAGTGTTTGTGACAATTTGTGGAGCCTCCTCCTCCAGTAAGTGTTTTATTGTCCACCACCATTTGTAATTAGATGTGACAGGACGGAACCACTTAGTAATGGCTATCACTTGCTGCTTTTGTATTTGGTACTCGGGTAGTCCTATGGTGTAGCTTCGCAAGATTGACGCCTCATTTTTTGGCATGTCTGATGCTGTTCCTGGCATGCTGTGCTACACTCTTCTTTGAACCAGGGTTGATTAGTAGTGGCAGAGTGGGAGATATACCAAGCCACAAGGCCATAAATTGTGTTGGAGCATGATTCAGCTGCTGCTGCTGTTAAACCACATGGATACGCTGTTTGAATTGAGCATGGTGATAGTGCCACACAACATGATGGAGGATATTTCCAATCTGAAGTCCGGATTCATCTGAACAAGGACTGCGTTGGTCACTTTTAGGGTAATTTTCGCAGACAGATGTATCTGCAGCTGAATGCTTTTTCCAGATTTTTTTTGAATTCACATTCGACCATCTGCCATGATGGGTTTCGAACCTGGGTCTCTGGAACATTACTCTGGATTGCTGATCTGACAATAATACCACTAGACCACATTAATATCACAATATTATCAATATGTAGCCAGCAGCTGGACATATGATATAACAATCCTCCTGTAAGTGAAGAACAGTTGGAGAGTTTGTAGTTAATAATTTTTGTTTCCTTTGTTTAAGGCCTTTTAAAGTGGAGCTATAAGATACTTCTTTTAACCTGAGTATCAGCAATAAATAGGTTTTCCTCACCATCTCATCAAAATCTTCCAAATTTGCATATATTGCAGGACAAAACAAAACTGTAGGTGCTGTACATCTGAAATGATACAAAAAAAATTCTGGAAACTCTCGAGCATCAATAGAGAGATCAGAAGTTGCAGAGCTTCTGCCAGTTCTGATTAAAGGCCATTGACCGTGAAAATTAGGGACAGTTTTAACTCCAAAATGGATGAATTTTGTTCAGGTGGGAAGTTAATAATTTTAAAATGGATTCAACCCACCTTGAACTTAGTCACTTCCAGTTTTAAAATCTGCAGGATGAAAGACAGCTTGGAGGAGAAAGGAGGGTAGTGAAAATAATTTAAGGAACTAGTGGTCTTCAATTTAGTTGTGTTTCTACATTTAGCTCTTGCTGGCAGCATTTCCCAAGTTCTAAAACATTTGGCAGCTAAAAGCAGTCTAGCAGCACTCAATCCATAAGGGAGGAGCAGTTCTTCAGAGCCAACAAGCTACACCGTAATCCTTCTCGCACCCCTGACCATCATCAATTTCCCTCATCTAACCACCAACCTCTTCCCACCACCTCCCAACCACCACCTTTGTTACTGCACCCTCTTCCTGCTGACTGGTTCCACAATAATGTATTTGATTCTAAAATTACCACTAAATCATTCAGTTGAATCAAAACTGCTACACCCTTTGCCTTATGGGCTGTAGCAGTTCAAGACAGTGGATCACTGCCAGCTCCTCAAGGGCAATTAGTGATGGAAATAAATATTGTCCCTGCCAATAATGTCCAGATCCCGTGAATGAATTCCAAAAAGAATTCTCCAAACGTTGGTGTCACCTGGAACAGTTTGATCATTGGGCCGATTGACAATGATTATGCTATTTAACAAGGTTGCTCATAGGTTTGTTAACTTTGGCACCCATATAAGCACAGTGTTTATGGTGCTTTCTCTGTCATTCACTAAGGCACTTAGCTAATTTGACTAACTGCAAGTGAATCTATCTGACTTGTAGATATTCTCTAATAAACCCACTCGGATATTATTGCATTCCTCTGGAGCAGATGGGACTTGAACCCAAGCCTCATTGCTCAGAGGTAGAGACACTACCACTGTACCACAAGAACCCCCCCCCCACCTCCCATGTATACCACAAAGGAAATGTCTGTTACAACCCATTAGGGTAGTGTGCCATAAGTTGGGACCTGCTTTTTCCAGAGTTGTACCAAATATTAACTTTTCTTTTAAAAAAAAAAAAAGGTGCACTGCTGCCTAAATTACCTGACTTTCAGACCAAGGTTGATGGAAAACATAGAGCTGGTTTCTGTGCTGAGCAAGAATCATAATCTATTACGAGTAATTAGACCATAACTACAGATAAACTGAACTGATTATGGTTTAAACAGGCAAATCATTGGTATATAACACTACAACCCAAAAAGCCTCATCTTGTTAAAAACTACTCCTCACAGGCACACACACACACATGCACACATGCACGGAGGTGAAGAACTGCAAAGTCAGTTCTGTGGCCTTTGCTTCATATTTTGATGTTGAGACAATCCTTCTTCGGCTAGCCAGGCCCTTGGTGCTCAGTTGTCTTTCTCTGAATGCTTCCACTGGTTTTTTAAGTTGTACAGAGTGTATAGTTCACTTGTAAAATGTCTCTATTCATTATTTCAAAAGTCACAGTTCACTGTAACAGCTGCAGAAAAGATAATTAGTTTGCTCCATGTTTTAACTGAGCATTTTACTGCAGAGAGCAGGTAGCTTCTGCTGGGGAAAACAACTGTGCACACTTCTGTATCTTTTCTTCTCTGTGTGTCAATGTCTTTGTTACTTGTTTCCAGTTACAACTTACTCAGTTAGCTGAGAATCAATCAGCTTCATTTGTAAACAACTGCTCAACTTTGGATTATCAGCAAGTTGCAGGAACCTATACCCACCAAAAGAGTTCATGAAAGGTACCAAATTCCTTGATGTGAAATTATGCAGCCATCCTGGTAAATCCCTGTTTTTGAAAGCAGTTCTTTCTCATTGGAGTCCATAGTTTTTAAAAACATAAAAGTAAAAACACACCATCCTTACAGATCGGAAGAATTTATGGAAACCTTGTTCACTTTGGAATTGACAGGCATCACAATCTCTTGGAAATGTAGAGCATAATGTGATCGTAACATCATGTTTACACAATTCTCTGCTTTATATAATTTTATGTAATTCTAAATGTTTCTCACAGGTACAAGTGTTCCAGATAGGTTTGAAAAACAATCAAAAAATATCCCCCTGAGGTAAATGTTATAGTTCTTTTGATTGTTTGAATTGACACTAAGTCTTAGCTGTTTTGTATCTTAAGTGACTGAACGTGTCTATGCACGTAGTTTCAGTACTTCATATCTTTTTGAAAAATGTTTGTCAGTAATGTTAATGGATAAGTAAATGAGCAGAATAACAAGTTTTGCATTCCTTTGACTTATACATTGACCTAAGATATTAACCTGTATATTTTAAATGATTTGGTTGCTCTGTTCAAGTAACAAACAGAAACGTTACACTAATCATTTAAACTGTAGAATTTTTTGTCAAAGCAGGAAACTGTTTGACCCATTGCTGATATGAACATCTGGAAAAGCTCTCCAATGTGGATCATTGTTCTGCTGTTTCCTCTTATTTTAAAATTTTCTTTACAGTTAGTTATCCCCATAATGTTCAGAAGCTGCCATGGATTGTGCACCCACTGCTGTTTATGTATGAACATGAGTGGGCCATTCAGTCCCTTGAGCCTGTTCACCATTCAATGAGATCATGGCTGATTTGTGGCCTAACTGCATACACCTGCCTTTGGCATATATGCCTTTGATACCTTTGCTTAACAAAAATTTACCTGTCTCAGATTTAAAATTAGCAACTGATCTAGCATCAACAGCTGTTTGTTTCTAGTAGCCCTGTGTTTAGAAAATCCTGGATTCTCCCTTTGTTCTTTTACTGATCTTAAAGGAAGTGTCTTAAAAGAAGAAAGTTTGGTAGAAAGGAGTAGGGAGGGTATTCTTAAGCTTGGAACCTACATGATTGAAGATGTGGTTATCGTTGGTAGAGCCGTTAAAATCAGGCATACACAACACCAGAATTAAAGAGCACAGATATCTCGGAGAGTTGCAGGGCTAAGATGGTGCAAGGCCTAGGAGACACTTTAAAAACAAGTATGAGAATTTTAAATTGTATGACCAGAAACCAACGAAGGCCAAAAAGCACAAAGACATTAGGAGAGAGGACTTGGTTTTCATCACCAATTTATCAGAAGTCCTTGTCCAGACCATTACTAAGTAAAATTAAATAAGAAAGGGGCAAAAGGAAGACAGGAAATTAACACAATTCTTATCATGAGAGAAGAAGTGCTAGGGACACTAATGAGACTAAAGACTGATAAGTCCCCTGGACTTGATAGGATGCATGCTGGGATACTGAAAGAAGTAGCTACAGAGATAGTGGATGCACCAGTAGTAATATTCCAAGAATCCTTAGATTTTGGAAAAGTCCCAGAGGATTAGAAGCTGCCGATGCAGCATTTTTATTCAAAAGGTTTGGGGTTGACAGTGCAGGGCAAAACAAAAAAAATGTGAGTTACTATAGGCCAGCTAGCTTAACCTCTGTTGGGAAAATGGTAGAGAACATTATAATGCAGACCATTTAGAAATGTCTGATATGATCAAGCAGGGTTTACTTGGCTTCATGAAGGAAAACCATGCCTGGAAAATTTATTAGAATTCTTTCAGGAGGTAGTGAGCAGGATAAATAAAGGGGACACAGCAAGTATAATATATTTGCATTTTCCGAAAGCATTAGGCTACTTAATAAGATAGGAACCCACAGTGTTGAAGGTAATATACTAGCCTGGATAAGGGTTTGACTAACTAGAGGACTCTGGGACTATACTCATTGGAGTTTAGAAGGATGAGGGGGGATCTAATTGAAACTTAGAGAATACTGAAAGGCCTGCACAGAGTGGATGTTTGGAAGATGCTTCCATTGGTAGGAGAGACTAGGACGCGAGGGCACAGCTTTAAAGTAAAGAGAAGACCTTTTAGAACGGAGATAAGGAGAAACTTCTTCAGCCAGAGAGTGGTGAATCTATGGAAGTCACTGCCACAGAAGGCTGTGGAGGCCAGGTCATTGAGTACATTTAAGACTGAGATAGATAGGTTCTTGGTTATCAAGGGGATCAAAGGTTACGGGGAGAATGGGGTTGAGGAACTTATCAGCCATGATTGAATGGCGGAGCAGACTCGATGGGCCGAATGGCCTAATTTCTGCTCCTTTGTCTTGTGGTCTTATAGTTAAGACAGAGTTGAGATAAGGTGGTGCATTTTCAGGATGAGAACCTGTAAGTAGTGGAGTGCCACAGGGATCAGTGCTGAGTCACAATTATTTACAGTATATTAATGACTTGGACGAGGAAAGTGAATGTACTATATCCAAGTTTATGAATGGCACAGAAATAGGAAGGCAAGTTAGTTCTTGTGATGTGGGTAGAAGGAATGGGCACTAGATGCCAGCCTTAATTTAACCTGATAAGGTCTTGGCTGACTTTATTCTTGAATCACATTGCAGTCTGATAAAGCAGAGTGATTTCTTTTGACTGTTCAGAAGACATTTAAAACTTGGGCATTTTGATAAGGACTGAATTTGCATGGGAAAATCTGGGTAAAGATGCCATCATCTCTTCGCTAAAGTACAAATGTGCCTCTCATCACGTTGTGCTGTACTGCTTGATGATCTACACCAATGGCTTGCCATGATATAGAATTTGAATTTGTCTTTTCTCTATTGCTTAGTATCTTGTATCCTTCTGCTGAATCTCCTCTATCAACTTCTTCATGTGAAGTATCTCATTTCACTGGCTTTCTATCACATGTAAAACTCTTGAGGCTATGGATGTTACTTCAATTTGGCCATGAAAATGTATTTTATATGCTGAATTCAAAAGGTGTTGTCATCCAACTCAAATTCTCTCTTTTAAACAATTTTACCAGACATGAATGGTTTCAAACAGAGGATGCAATTACAGTTGTTATATACACCAAACAAAAGGTATGTGTTCACGAATAAAACCACCTATAGAACTAACATTAGATAGACTAATGGGTAGTCTTTGCTGGCTGTATTAGTGTTGCTTATCATAGACATGTTGAGAAATCTGCAGAGAAAAGAGGAGAACCTCAGACTTTGAATACTTCTGAAGGTCAATTTAATTTCTCAATTAAGCAGCTGTCATCTTTTTTGAAATAGTGTAATTGAACGTTCAAAAAGATATGCAAATATTCAGCAAATTAAACCTTGAAAGATATTTTGACAAATTATAACATTGGTTATAATTGAGATCTGTCGTGTTTCTCTCAGCAAAAAATGGCAGATTGGTTCTCACTCTGTTGTCTTTTTAGAAATTCTTCCTCAAAGTTTTGAAGTAATTCTGGCATTTAAAACTTGTGAATCCAAAGTTTGATAACTTTGAAAAATCTTGTTCTACATTTGAAATCGATTTATTATTAGCATCTCATTGTCCATCAGTGTCTACTTTGAAATATCTGTGATTAAAAGCATGTACACACAATTCTCTTAAATATAATACTTGTTCCACTTAGCTTTTCTGAACAATAAAGTATTTATTTTAATCTTGATTGCCTCTAAACTCAAGTTTTATTCTCCAGTCGTTACTGCTGTTGCCTCCTTATTTCTGAGTATGAAATGCAAGCATCAGTTGAAGACTTCTAAAACACTCAGAGCAGAGTTTCTTTGATTAACATTTTTGAAAATATTTTAAAATAACTTTTACTATCAACCAGGTCAGAGGCTAGTAATCCTACAGCAAATAATTCATCCCTTGACTCCCCGAAGCCTGTCCACCATTTACAAGGCCCAGGTCAGGAGTGTGATGGAATATTCCCCACTTGTTGGATGACTACCACTCCAACAACACTCAAGAAGCTTGACACTATCCAGGACAAATCAGCCCATGTGAATGGCACTGTCCAGAAGCATTCACTCCCTCCATCATTGACATTTAGTAGCAGCAGTGTGTACCATCTATAAGATGCACTGCAGAAAATCACTAAATTTCCTTAGACAGCACCTCCAAGCCCACAATAATTTCTGCCTAGAAGGGCAAGAGTAGGAGATATATGGGAACACCACCACTTGCAAGTTCCCCTTCAAGCCACCCACCACCTTCACTGTTCTTTCAGTGTCATTGGGTCAGACTCCTGCAATTCCCTTCCTAACAACATTGTAAGTCTGCCTACAGCAAATGCACTGCAGTGGTTCAAGAAGGCAGCTTCCCATCACTTTCCTGATGGCAACTAGGGATAGTCATTAAATGCTGGCTTATTCAGTGATGCCCATATTCTCCCATGACATCATTAGTGTTTACTGAGCTACCACCGGATGTCATCAAGTTCATGCAAAAATTGACCTTATCTTTTATGCATGTTAAGCCTAAAACTGGCTATGCAGTTAAAATGTTTGTGAAAGAATAATAGGAATGGAGTGGGGAAAGTGTGAGTAAAGAGGGGAGAAATGTTGTGAATAGAAGTGGGGAAAAAAGGAAAAGAAGAAGGGTGAAATTGGAAGGAACAAGTGGGTGAAGGGAATCAAAAAGAAACAAATATATGAGGGACGAACCTAGGATAAATTAAGCCTGCAGGCTGCCAATTTCTCTACTATTTCCTCTACTAGAATAATACCAGACCTCATGTTCCCCATCTCATAACTTCTGTTGTTCTTCCCCTTAATTTATAATTACCCATACCACTTTAGCCTTCTGTCTTCTTTGCACCTCTTCTCTTTAGTCCTTTATCTGCTCATCTATCTTCCATTCCTGTCTCCTTCAATCCAAACCGCCCTTACTAAATCATCTCAATCTCCTATCATTGCAATCATCAGCTTCGCACTGCTGTCAAGTCTAAGTAACTTAAGCTAAGTCTTAACTAACTCCAAGACACCACTCTAGTTTCCTTGAATTGGAAGATCGCTGCACTTGCTTAGTGCAAAGAAAATGCATGTCAGCGCTGAGACACAGAACAGAGTCATAGAATGGAATAAAAGTCTAAAGAAGAGATAGAGAAGAAATCAGCATAAACAGAGGAAATATAGGATAAAGTGGGCAGAAGCAAAAGACCATTAAAGCCCCTTGATTCCTACCATCCCAGAATACAACAAAATACCATGAAACTCCTCCTACCCTGGTGCTTTTTGCCGATGATCCAGCCAAATGTTCTAGGTGTCTCTAAGGCCACAGGTTCTAGCAGCAGTGGAGTGAGATACTAGTCTAAGTGACTTTAGATAGGATAATGTAGAATCAATATGTGTGGAGGCAAGAAAAAACAATGGGAAGACAGAACTAATGGGAATAGTCTGTAAGGCCCTAACAGTAACTGTTCTATAGATGCTGTTCTGTGGGATCCAGTGATTAACTCATGAGAGAATGAGGTTGTATAAAAAAGGCAGTACGTTCATCTTGGGTGACTTTAGACTTCTTGTAGATTGGGAAAATCAAATTGGCACAGGTAGCCATAGGAAGAATTCACAGAGCATATTCAGAATACTCTCCTAGAGCAATATGTTGTGGATTTAACCTGGGATCAGGTTATTTTGAATCTGGCAATGTATCATGAGGCAAGTTTATTAAAAGATGTCAGAGTAATCCCCTAAGGAACAGTGACCATTAAAGTAGAAATAGCATTCCGTTTGAGAATGAGAAACTTGGATCAGAAACAACTATTCTAAATGTAAATGAAGGTAATTACATGGAAAGGCTGAGCTGGCAGAGTGAACCGGCAAAGATGTTTAGCAGAAAAGATGGTTGGTGAATGATGGCAGATGTTTAAGAAAATAGCTTATGACACACTGCAAAGATAGAATCTCACTGAGGAATAAGGATTCCAGGAAGGGGATAAATCGACCAGGGTTAGCCAGTAAGTTAGGGATAGCATAAGATTGAAAGTAAAAACATACATTGTGGCAAAGATTAGTAGTAACTCAGAGGAATGTGAAAGTTAAAACCTCGTTAAAAGCCAACAAAAAATGGCTATCAAAAAATGGCGAGAGAATGTAAACAATGAGGGCAAACAATGAAGTAACAGAAAAGATGGAACAGTAAGAGACTCTTTACATATATAAAAAGGAAGAAAGTGAATGTAGGCTTCTTAGAGTGAGGTTGAAGAAATAATATTGGGAACCCTGTAACTCCTAGTATCCCAGCCTTACAAAAATCTATTAATCACACTTTAAAATTTTAAATTAGCCTAGCCTCAACAGTTTGTTTTTTTCAAAAAGGTACTTTCTAATATCCTCCCTGGAATGGTCTAACTATAATTTTAACGTTATGTTTCCTTGCTCGGAACTCCAGAGAAAGCAGTTCCTTTCTATCAACTCAATAAGGTTCTTCAAACATCTTTAACAGTTCACCTACATCACCCCGGAGTCTTATGTGCTCAAGTGAATGTAAACTTGGATGACATTTTTTTTTGTTCTATTGCCTGTCCTTAATTGAGATGTTTATACAAGTGTACATGTTGGTAATAAAGAGTGAACGAAAAACTGAAAGAACTGCAGATGCTGTAAATCAGGAACAAAAACAGAAGTTGCTGGAAAAGCTCAGCAGGTCTGGCAGCATCTGTGAAGAAATCAGAGTTAACATTTCGGGTCCAGTGACCCTTCCTCAGAGGAAAGATTAAAAGATTTTTGTTCTGAGGAAGGGTCACCGGACCCGAAATGTTAACTTTGATTTTTTCTTCACAGATGCTGCCAGACACAATGAAGAGTGAACTGTTGTTCAGGTGTATGTTACGTTGAGACCAGTTAGCGCAGGGATGACAAAATCCCTTCTCTGCCATCAATGGACTAGTTCAGCATTTTGGACACCCAGCTTCAATGATCATCTTTTCTCATACCAGCTCTCAAATTGTACGTTAATACCTCCCTTAAAGGAAGGATCTGTTACGATTATGTGATCTACACAATGGCATTAGTAATCGAAGCTCAATGTGTATAAGAATTGAGCAATTTTAAATATCTATAAAACTACTTACTTAAGCTCATAATCTAAACCTGTTAATATTTGGTAGCATAGAATTTGCAGCAGTTCTTAATTGGACTAAAATTCTTTCAAAGGATACCAACTCGGATTCCATAATTGTAGACTTGGAAGGTGGTGTGCTGAGAACAGAAGTTCGTCAACCAGAATATTCCTATATCCTTCACCTGGGTATGTAGGAGGTTCTTCGCTGTTGGCCAAACAGTTCAATGTAGATAGCTTGGTTTGTTTTTCTCTTTTGTGCAAAACATTCTATTTGTTCCTAAAATAAAATTGGCAGCCTTGTGTACTTATGTTTAAGAGAAAGACCGTCCCATTAAGTTATAAATAATACAAACTAGGATCTATCACACCAGATTTAATTCTGGGATCTGACTTGTCCAGTCATGACATCAGCACCAATTAATATATGATGTGGTTCAATGTGTTGCTATTTACTCATTCAGCCAGCTGGGGCCTTTGTTCACCTTAAGAGGATGTTGAGTTCTTAACTGTCTGTTTGTTATTTGTATAGATTTCTGATTTTCTGTTATTTCATATATTTTGAAATGGTTTTTGATACTAACAAATACATTTTTTTGTATAGAACTAAGTCATGAAGTCCAAGAGGTAATTTCTGGTATGTAAAATTTTAATACAATTGGCTACTTTCAGAGAATAATGAAATTATCATTCACTTATATTCATACTTGCAGATGAATTTCTTGTTAATACAAGATAATATTTTTGCATTTATTTCCTTAAACTGTATTTGTATGTTTACATCAATAACTCATTAAATATCCCATTAATATGACTCTAGGAAAATGCATCAATAATATATAATTACATTTTGGAATCTCTGATTTTCACCTGAAATTCAAGAATAATTTTCCAAGTTCATGATACTGACTTGATTTTCATTCTGCCCACAACATGTCAGTAACTTAGGTATGGAATTCCCACGATATTCTGGTCATGCAAAATTAGCCTTAACCACCACCCCTGACAACAAGATATATGATTATAATTACAATCTTTGCTACAGCCTAATGTTGTATTGGCAATTTAATATAAAACTTTCATACTGTTCTGAATTCATTTGCACCATTTCCGGTTAATTAGAAATAAATTGCCTTTATTTTAGTTCACTGTACCAGTAAGGTGGGAAAAATAGAACTGAATTTGAAAAAGCGTAACAGTATAGTTTGGAGTAATCTTGGACGTCCTCAGGAGCTTCATAACTCATACAAAAGAAAGAGCGAACAAGGTATGAATATGTGTGCTTTTATCATTTGAGTTACATGTTGAAAGATTTCTTTTTCTTCTGAAGGGTTCATCGTTATCTGAGTGAAAGATATAAAATGCAAGGTTCTCAGGAAACCATTGTGTAGGATATGCATAGAAATGTTATCATGATCTTTCAGAGAGGTAGAGTTGCATGTAATCCCATCTCCCACATTGTGTAGAATCCTATTTTCTATGTTACTGTACCATTTGCTTTTGGAAATAGCGATGCTCTGAGGATCATTTTTCAAACCTCACTCGATAAAGATTGATTTAGAATTATGGTTCTGCAACAGAAGGGCTCCTGCAATCCACGTGCAGAATAGGAAACTAGAATAGGAGGCAGGTCTCATTCCAAGATAGGTAAATGACTGCTTGGAAAGAAAACTTTGGCCTACGTCAACCTGTCACTAAGTCAACTTCGTCATTAACAGACCTCCTTGCTAAAGCCTTTTGTCTGAAGACTATAATCATTACTTGGTGGTAAATAAACCTGTAGATGTTTAAACATTGAATTGTATGATGTGACACAAGCTGCTCTGCATGTCTTCTACAGCATGTTAAGGTAGTTATCTATCAGTTTGTGACAGTTCTTACGTAGAAAAGCATTCTGATCACATGGAGGTTTATAGAAGCATATTAGACATTCCATTTGTACTGATCCAGTGGTACATTATAATGATTATAAGAAAAATAATCAAAGTTGTAAATTTAAGTCATTCTGTTAACATTTTTAATGTCTTGTTTCTCCCCCTCCCCACACTTTTTCCCCTAGGTCTTTTTTACAGGAAATGCACCCTACTGTCAAAGATGGATGTGTCACATGACACTAGATTATTGTGCTTTCAGCTACCTGTTGGGTGTTATTTGACAATACCGATTGGACAGCACATCTATCTCAAAAGTAACATTCAAGGTACAACAATATAGTTACATACGTTCATCATTGCTCAGAACATTTGACTTGCAAAACAGTATTTACATGAGTTAACAGAATTATTTTGTAAATTTTTCTAAGGGGCAACAGTTAAACATGAAGATACATTGAATAATTTCTTAATTATTAGGTTTCCTTTTCACAAAAATCTACCAATGAGTGATTGTTCCACTGGGAGGATGTGGATTCCTGTGGATGTAGATACTCAAGGCAAGTTGTCCTAGAGGAACATTTTGCCTGGTGATTTTTGGTTTTAATTGAAGGTTCTTCCAAACAATTTTATGCTATTAAGTCATGAGAAGTTCACAAATGCGTGCTCTTAGAATAACTGAGCTTTTGTAAGGCACTATAGTGACGGCATTCCAACTGTAGTTCATTTTTATTTTTCTCACTTTAGCCTTGATTTTCTAACAGACTGTTACTCAAGCTGGTGCAGCGTCTTGGCTGGTGACTTTCCCTAACACTTCATTTTAAATGCTTGAATCTGGCATCAAAGCTGAGTCAAACATACCCTCACCTGGTATCCATACACTTCCAGCAGAACTAAAAATGCCGACTGCGCATCGCTGATCCCCTCAACCTTGCGAAACTATGGACAAATATAGTTCACGCTGCAGTTATCAAAGCACAGTGAAGAATCTAGAGCGTTGTGTTCTCTAAGGCCTAGTAATAGAAAACCTAACCTATTCGCTAGTGGGTAATGCGGTTTGATCTATTTGTTCTCCATTTCTCAGGAGACATGTGATTTTGTTATATTATATTTCATTCTCCTCATTTACCAGATGCCGAAGTAGTTAGGCCCTATACACCTGTGCTGCCAACCTTGTATGTAGAACCAAAAGATGATGGTTGTACTTGTACTTGTATCTACTTAATGGTCAAAATCTACCCTGATGGATTGCTAACACCTCTTATTGACAAGCTTCAAATCGGTAAGAGAATGAATTTTGGTTTTAGTTGTGATCCTACTGTTCTACCTTTAAGTTAGATGCTGACTAATTGTGAGTTTTCCTTTGTAAAATCTTTGTATTTAGCAAGCATTGTGAGTTTTGTTTGCATCACAAAAATTATACTTTATGGACTGATGGTGATTGATGAGTGGACTCAGAGAGAGATGGTAATGAATGTACTGAAATTTTGAATAAGTGCAAGTATGTGGAGATGTACTTTGATATAACAAGTTAAAGCATGTTATACGATTAGAAAGTAATATGGGCAATAAATGTTTCAACACTTTGCATAAAGGTTCCTTGCTAAAATCAGTCATAAGTGTCACATTAAATGGAATTGATACTCGGTCCAAGAATTTAAAAAAAAAAAACTCCCTCACAGAATTCTTCTGACAGTTATTGATTCAGGAGTAGGAATCTTTGTGTTTACTGACTGGATACAGTGTACGTGGAACTGAAATCCCAGCATCATGTTGGGAGGGGGCCATTCAGTGCTCTCAAGCCTGCTGTGCCATTCCGTATAATGACTGGTCCTCCAGCTAAAGGCTAGATACCCAAGCTATGCCCATACATTCAATATTATCTAGAAATCTATCAATCTCTCTCTCCTGAACACACTCAGTGACTGAGCTTTGATAGTACTCATACTCAAATCCTCTTGCAATACACCTGTATGTACCATTAGCCTTCCTAATTGCTTGTTACACCTGTATGTTAACTTGTAATATCTTACAAACAACAACAACATCTAGGTCCATTTGGGCATCCAACACTTTCCAGTCTCTCACCACTTAAGACATAGTCTATATCCGTTCCTCCTACCAAGTTGGATAATGTCATCCAGTATTCAATCTGCCAGGCTCCTGGCCACTCTCTCAGCTTGTCCAAATTCCCTTGACCCTTAACAAACAAAAAAAGAACTGTGGGTACTGGAACTCAGAACCGAAACAGAAATTGCTGCAAAAATCTCAGCAGGTCTAGCAACATTTGTGGAGAAAAAGCAGAATTAATGTTTCGGGTCCAGTGACCCTTCTTCAGAAGTGATTGTAGCGATGAAAAGGTTGGTTATATATGTTATAACTGTAAAAATGAGTGGCTGGTTAAGTGATTGGTCAAAGCATTTCAAAAAGGCAGAGAACCCAGCTTGAAATATAATGTGAGAAAATGTGACGTTATATACTTTGACAAGAATAAAAGAGGAGCTGGATATTATTTAAATATAAAGAACTGCAGAAACCTTTAGAAAAGAGAAATTTGTGAATCTTCATACATAAATCACAGAAACGTAGATAGCTAATAGGGAAGACAAATGGAATGTTGGTCTGTGTTTCAACGGGAATGGATTATAAAAATAAGGATGTCTTGCTAAAACTGTACAAGGCACCAGTCAGAACGTAGCTGCAATACTGTGAACAGTTTTAGTCCCCTAATCTCGGGAAAGACATACTGGTATTGGAGACAGTCCAGAGAAGGCTCACTAGGTTGATGACAGTATGGAGGGATTTTCTTATGAGGAGACTGCCTGTATTCACTGGAGTTTAGAAAAATGAGAAGTGACCTTATTGAAACATGGAAGATTTTTAGAAGCCTTGACAGGGCTGATGAGGAGATGTTGTTTTCCTTTGAGGGGAATATAGGACCAGAGGGGATAATCTCAGAATAAGGAGTCACCAATTTAAAACAGAGATAGGAGGAATTTATTTTCTGAGGGCAGTGAATCTCTAGAATTCTTTATCAGAGAAGGTTGTAGAGGCTGCATTGCCTATGTATGTTCAAGGCTGAGATAGATTTTTAATCAGTAAGGAAATTAAGGGTAAAAGGGAAAGGTGGAAAAATGAAGTTGAGGATTATCAGTTCAGACATGATCTCCTTGAATGGTTGAGCAGATGTCTTGTGGTATTAAATGTCAAAGCAATAGCAAGAGTTTTCACTGGTTTCTGAAACTAGTAAAAGTAAGTTTTGGTCCTGTAGAGAGTCAGAATGGGACATTAATAGTAGCTAATAAAGAAATGATAAATGAAGTAAACAAATTGTTTGCTTTTGTAGAGGATACAAAATGCATTCCATTAATATTGCTGATAACATATATGTTTTGTTCTAGCTTTTCATCTTGCACTCATCAGGAAAATTTATAAGAATACTAATATAACAGGAAAATAACAATTATGTTACATGAGGGGAGAGTGCTAACAGGTTGGCATGTGCACTCTGGCAGAGATGTACCCTTTACATTTTGCCTCGTTTTGGTATTTCTTCCGAATTGCCCTAATGAGTGCAAGAAGAAGAGTGTTGCCAATGTCTGTCATCCTCCGCAAAACTCTCAAGTTTTGTTGTACCAAATGATTATCCTTGTAATAGTTGTAAATCAGGAGGTAGAGGGATGGGAAGAGCTTGGTTTTTATTTGTCGTCATTTTGAAGAGTGCAGGCAACAAGCCAAAAAAAATTGCCACTATCGAAAGATTCAAAGTCAGGCCTTACAGGATATTCAGCGAAGTGGGCAAGTTTTGGAAGTTTTCTGCCACCCCACAAAATGAGCAGAATCAGATACAGCCACAAAAGCGGGTCAAAAGTTCAGGAAACTTTAGAAAGATAAATTATGGGGTTTTGGGGGACATCTATGTGGCAGTGGGGGCAAGTTAATGTTGAGGAAGGTCAATAAGAGAGAGGTTAGAGGCAGTGGTATCACTACAAAATCAGATGATAATTTGGGAAGTCGTCGACCTGTTAGCAGCACTTATAAGGGTTCATTGTGGGGGTGGTCTGCCAGTTATTTAAGAATTACAATACAGATCCTTCTGCAGATCAGTTCTGGTGCCATCCTACCTTTGGTTCCCACCTTGGATCCACAAATGAGACAGCAGATCTGTCTCTGACACAAATTGAGGCTTTTAAGCAAGAAAATCACATTTCTTGGCAGCCTGGTGACAAAGGAAGGGAGACAACGCAAAATTGTTCATACCTCCAAATTCGAATTCCTGAAGGCAAAATCTGGCCTGCCAGTATCACGGAAGCCACTCCAAGTCCCTCCAAGCCACTTACCATCTGACTTGAAAATATATCACTGACGCTGGAATTCCTTCCCTAATGGCATTGTGGGTCAACCCACAGCATGTGGTTTGCAGTGGTTCAAGAAGGCAGTTCACCACCACCTGCTCAAGGGCAACTTGGAATGAGTAATAAAAACATTTCTTGCCAGTTAGCGACACCCATGTCCCATAAACAAATAATAAAAGTACTTGTAATAGTTCAGTTTAGATTTTTCCATTTTTTCAATTCCATATGATAAAACAGGCAAATGAGGTAGATACAGCAATTATGTTAATTATGTGATTAAATCAAGAATAATTATGATTAAACTTTAACGGAAATTAATCACAATTAGTTCTTTCATGAATTAGCTTTACCTTAGAAGACAGGGCGTTGCAAGTTATTTCCAAATTAACAATTAACATGACAATACTTTTCCTTAGTAATTCGTTGCTGTATTTTATCTAAAGGAGACTGTATATCTGTGAGTAGCCCAGAAGGTAACTTCAAACACTCACAACTTGAAGGAATAACTGAGCTCATCCTATTGGCTGCTGGTACAGGCTTCACTCCAATGATCAAACTTATAAACCTCGCTTTGAAAATTCCTTCTTTCAGGTAAGTTCCATCAGTTTGATTTTTTAGATTATTAAGTGAAGCTGTATTCAATTTCAGGTATTCAAGAATGCTGCTTCTGCATGTTTCACTTTGTTCAGACCAATCTACATCGATGTGATGTTATACTTGTGAGATTAAAATCCAATATAACTTTTTATAATAATTTGCAGATCTACCAGGGTATTTTTTTTTATCCATTCATGGGATGTGGATGTTGCTGTTCGGCCAGCATGTATTGCCCATCACTAGTTGCCCTGGAGAAAGTGGCACTGGGACACCTTCTTGAACTGCTGTTATCCACGGTGTGTGGGACACATACAATGCTGTTAAGAGGAGAGTTCCAGGATTTTGACCCTGCAACAGTGATGGAATAGAGATATAGTTGTAAATTGTTCCTGGTTTTCTTAGGAGAGGCAGAATTTTAAAAAAAGGATTCAATAAAACAAAGTGCAAAGTACAGCAGATGCTGAAATCTGACATAAAACCATGTAATGTTGGAAACATTCAGCAGATCATACAAAATTCTTTCAAAGGGATGGTTAATGTTTCAGATAGATGGCCTTCAATCTGAACAAACTGTATTTCAAAATTTTAATAATAGTTTGACCCATGCAAGAATATCGTTTAAATTCATGGCTGCAACACAATTTCACGCAGCCACTGGTTTTTCTGATATGTTCACATACTTTTCTCTCAGGGTTTAAAATAACAGGCAGGTTTTCTATATACTGGTAGAAAGGAATGACATTCTAGCCAAAATCCTCATTGTTTTCAATTACCATGTTGAAACACAAAATAATGGATGTAACCAGGCAATCATCTCTCTAGTAACTTGAACATGATATTAAGAGCTATTTAAGAGGCTGACCTTTGTTGGTCTTTAAAACTATATTCAAAAAAAAACCTCTTCGTGCAGTTGCCAGAGATAGGATTCACCATGGTGGAAATTCTGTAGAAATGGGTCTGATATTTTCAGGGGGTTACCATTTGTGAAATTCAGTCAGACAGTTAGTTACTTTTATAATTTTCACAAATGTTCTTACCCTGACTATTCTGGATATCTTTATTACTTGAGGCATAGTTAAAACTAAATTACTAAGTTCAACACAATTTTACATAAAACAAAAGCATTCTGCCTACTCTCATTCTTTCATAATATTTTTCTTTTCCCTGATAAAATAGCCACCAGCGCCAGTGATGTCATTTTACGGCAATACGATGTCTTTGTCAGGATATGCAAATGTTATGGTCAATCTGTTAAACTGTATTTGCTCTGATGAGTTTTCTTCCTGTTAAAAAGAGAGCCTCCTGTCCCCAGTGACACAGACAGCCCATTATTTTCACTCACGATTTTTAAACACAGACATCAGAAATAAATTAATCTAACAGAGCAGCATGTAATGTGAAGATGATCGTTTCCGGTCGGTATTTACAATAACTGGATCATGGGAAAGAGTGGCAGTAAAATCAGGGTGATATCACATTGCACAAATCTCTAAGGTCTAATTCTAAATTTTGTATTGAAATATTTTTAACAATCATTACAGCAGGAGATGACATATCTGTTGATTTCAATGAGCTGATGAGCAGAAGTTTGATTCCATTGTGTTTATGTGGATAATGTCATCTTGATCCAGCCAATTGCAAAGCTGTGTTTGTGAATGTGTGCCATCGATGTGCTGGCTAGTGGTGTCATTCACAATAAAAGTAGCCTTTTAAAATTTGCTCTGTAATATAATTCTATTTTCTTATAACCTTTTCTTATTTCAAAGTTAAGAGCCTTCCTTTACAAAAATAAGTATTGAAGTAAATGGTTTGGTTTATGCTGCCAGTTATAAAACCTATATGGTGGCATGGCAGTGTTTTTATGTAATGAGGATATGATTTACCATGGAAGCCCAATAATGGTTCATTAGTGATGGTATGCTTCTGCTCGTAGCTAAACCTACCAGCAGATCTCCTGTCATGGTATGTCACACATGTCTGATTGTTGTGACATCCTCAGATATTTGCTGCAGCCCGGTTGTTCCCTGCTCTGTGACATACATGATAAGTCTACGCCTAAGTCAATCCTTCTTTCTGTTGTCCTTCACTTTTCCCTCACAAAGGGACCTTTGTAGCTTTTCAGAGATAACAAGGTGCAGCGCTGGATGAACACAGCAGGCCAAGCAGCATCAGAGGAGCAGGAAGGCTGACGTTTCGAGCCTAGACCCTTCTTCAGAAATGGGGGAGGGGATGGGGGATCTGAAATAAATAGGGAGAGAGGGGGAGGCGGATAGAAGATGGATAGAGGAGAAGATAGGTGGAGAGGAGACAGACAGGTCAAAGAGGCGGGGGCAGAGCCAGCAAAGATGGGTGTAGGTGTGGAGTTAAAGGGGGATAGGTCAGTCCAGGGAGGACGGACAGGTCAAGGGGGCGGGATGAGGCTGGTAGATAGGAAATGGGGGTGGGGCTTGAGGTGCGGGGAGGGGATAGGTGGGAGGAAGGACAGGTTAGGGAGGCGGGGACAAGCTGGGCTGGTTTTGGGATGCAGTAGGGGGAGGGGAGATTTGAAGCTTGTGAAGTCCACATTGATACCATGGGGCTGCAGGGTTCCCAAGTGGAATGTGAGGTACCGTGGGTGATCAGGAAGGCAAACGGAATGTTGACACTTATTGCAAAGGGAATAGAATAAAAACATAGGAAAATTTTGTTACATCTGAGGTGCTGCATACAGTTTTGGTCTTCTTGCTTAACAAAGAAGACAACTGTATTTAACAAAAAGCGTAGAGAAGGTTTATTTGTCTGATTCCTGGAATAAAGGAGTTATAAGAAAAGGATGAGCAGGGTGGACCTGCACCCAGTGGAGTTTAGAAGCATGCAAGATTATCTTATTGAATCATATAAGATCCATAGGAAATTTGAAAGTGTGGATGCTAACATTATTTATCCATATGTTCCCTAATTCTAGACTTGCTCCAATGACTAAAAATTAGAGGTTTCCCCTTTAAGACTGCAATGAAGAGAAACATTTTCTATCACAGTTGTCAATCTGTGGAATTCTGTTCCCTAGAGAGTAGTGGAATCTAGATAAGTGAATGCGTTCAAGGCTGAATTAGTTCGACATTTGATGACAAGGGAATCATGATAACATGAAAACGGAATTGTGGCTCCAGTTCCTCTCAGATATGATAATATTGAATAATGAAGCAGATTTGAGCGCCCAAATGGCCTCTTCCTGTTCCCAGTTCTTGGAACTTTGTTCCCTTGAAGTGGATATCATGTATGAAGAATACTTTGGTATTATTGAGCAACAGGGGATTTCCCCATTTTATTGTTTCCTATTAATTGTTCAAAATTCCATACTGCAGCTGGTCAGGCATTGAGAACAGTTAAGTGTTACACATTCTTCCATGTCCCCCACCCCTCCCTCCCCACCCCACACACACACACACGCGCACACACACTACACGAATGCATTTGGAGTTTTCACTATTCTTACTAGCAGAGCAGAAACTACATCTTGCCTTGGGGATCACTGCATCTGACTGTGGGCTGATATTATTCAAACTAACCTTTCAGATTTAAAAACTTATTTTCAATCAAACAACCTTTTTCATTGATTATATAAAGTGGAATTGTTCAATGGTGCTTTTGTTTTGTTTCAGGAAAGTACAATTGATGTTCTTCAACAAGACAGAAAAGGATATATTGTGGAGGGATCAATTAGACCAGTTAGCCTTAAAAGACAAAAGGTAACAAAATGTTTACACCAAAGTGTCTTTGTCAGTCGAGTTAAAGTGGCATATTTCTGTATTTCTAAGTGTGAGATTAAACAAATAGTCAGGGCTTATGATTTATTGTTACGGAATATATGTTGACTTTTTTTAATGTAAGTACTTGTAATTGAACAACATTTAGAGGAAGCGCTGAGAGTGGCAAGGGTGCAAAATGTACTCTGGGTGGACGATTTCAACGTCTGCCACCAAGAGTGGCTCCGCAGCAGCCCTATTGATCGAGCTGGTCAGGTCCTGAAGGGCACAGCTGCTGGACTGGGTCTGCGGCAGCAGGTGAGGGAACCAACAAGAGGGAAAAACTTATTCAACCTCAACCTTAACAATCTGCTGGCTGTAGATGCATCTGTCCATGACAGTATCAGTAAGATTAGCCATCGCACAATTCTTCTGGAGATGAAGTCCTGCCCTCATTATAGAGAATACCCACTATTGTGTTCTGTGACACTATCACCATGCTAAATAGGACAGACCATATAAAAGGACAAGGGCAGCAGATACATGGGAACACCACCACCTGCAAGTTCCCTTCCAAGCTACTCACCATCCTGCTTGGAAATATATTGCTGTTCCTTCAGTATTGCGGGGTCAAAATCCTGGAATTTCCTCCCCATTGGCATTGTGGGTCAATCTGCAGCACATGGACTGCGTGGTTCAAGAAGGCAACTCACCATCACCTTCTTAAGAACAACTGGGGACGGGCAATAAATGCTGGCCAGTTAGTGAAGCCCATGTCTAATGAGTAAATGAAAGTAAATATGCTGGTCAAGAGGTAAATTGAGCTCAGGATTACAGATTTCAATTGCAAACAATTGAGGTCTAAACTCTTTGCATTTGAACTGTTTTGCTTTTTGTTTAATTCTGTGATTTCCTTGAACTACTATGTACTTTTATAACTAACTCCTGTAGTGGTGATAGAGAGAGCTACAGCAGGAAAGCCTGATATTTTAATATTACTTTGTGGGCTGAATTTTGTATTCATTTGATCAGCAGACTGAAAATTCTATGATCGCCATGTAACAAATAATCTTAAATCTGAGCAGTGGTATGTTCGTCAAAACACAGTTTTCTGCATGGCTTATAAGATGTTTGTGGTTGTGCTTGTTAACTGAAGATTTTATCTTGCAATGTACATATTCCATTTTAGTTATCAGTCTGTCACAGAAAAGTACTTGGTTCATTACATACAATTCAAGATGATTAACATGCTGATCTCCTATACTTCTGGTTGCTGCTTACTTTGTCTGTAAAATTACATTGAAATTCATTACTTGGACACAGAGTGCAAGAACTAATTCTGAACTGCAGATGGAAAGGTCATCATACTAACTGTGACTCTTAAAAAGAATGATTCATCATCAGAATCAATGGACAGACAGCACACATTTTTGTATCATTATGAAAAGAAAAAACTTTGTAGAATACCAGTTTATTTTTGTACTAAAATTAGTATAGCAGAATGCAAAAAAAAAAGGCTGCTCTCTCCCTGTCCATCTCTTTCTCTGTTTTCCTTTTCAATTCCATATATCTCGTATTGCACCCTTTCTATTTACCTCATCCACTGCCCCACTGTCTTTCTCTCTCGTTCTGTCTCTCTATAAACATGTCTGTATCCATAATTCTGCACATCACTTCAACGCTCTGAGCCAGCTACGCAGGATCCTGGCTAAGTTACTGATATTCCATTATTTGGCCATGAGTCAGCAAATCAAGTAATGACTCGCTGAATCTCAACATGATGAAAGCAGTAACACTGAATATCTCAGAGATAGCTGTGAATCCAAATCAGAAATTTAGAATTTAAACTGGAATCGATTTGGAATGAGTTAGATTTGGACTTGGTTGCTGTGAAGAGATGTGCCTGTGGAAGCAGGTTTAGCAAACGTATGATCAAACACGAGGAAAAGATAACAATGACGCTCTCTGCTACTCCTTTCTCTCCATGTACAGGTAATTTAATCTCAAACTATTGAAATAAATATGGTCCCCATTCAAATGCAATATTTTAAATAAGAAGCACAAAGCTCTGTATAGGTCCAAATTTACTCATTGTATTTTAATTTTGCATTTTTATTTTTATGACAGCCCACAACCCATTCAAATTTTTTATAACCTTTTGCACCACAAATTAGTTTTTAATGTTGTAGTTAGATCCTTAAATGTTTGTCTTTTGTTTCCTCCATTCAGTCTGAATTTCCTGCTGCCCATCTATTCATGTGGAAAGGAAAAGAATTTTAAGGTGTGTTTAGAATCAAGATCAATCAAATTGCTTGCAAATTTTACTTTAGCATTTCAAAATGCTGAAGTTAGCAGCAATGACTTAAAAAGAGATAAATGCTAACCAAAAGCATCTCATCCTTTGTGAAACTTCGAAGAGTGCTACGGGGGGAGGGCTTCATGAAATGCCATGTAGGTATAATGATGGACTGTACTGAATTCAACTATACGTTTCATGCCAGACAGTACGTTGTAGATTTGGGGAAGGGGTTGAAGCACAGCAGGCACTCTTTTTTTAATGTAATATGCCCGTCACTCAGTCATTGTGGTGCCTTCATCAATTTGGTGTACATTCTGCAATCAGGGCTGTGGTAGAACAGATGATGGGGCTGCTGAAGACATGGTTCCACTGCTTGGACCAGGCTTGATGTTGATGGGGGGGGGGCCTTCAGTATAGTCCAGACACATCATACCACATCATCCTGACATGCTGCGCTCTGACATTTTGAGCAGGCAACAGAGTGATGTGATAGATTTCAAGGAACTGAGAAAACAGGACCATTGCGATGAGGACATTTGGGTGGAGGAAACTGTCCTTGTCCATGACGGAGCTCAGCTGCATAAGATGCTACAAGCCAGACAGAACGTGATTCACACCTTGTTCCGATAGATAAGAGCTGGATCGAGCAGACCATCATGGAATATGAAATAGTCATCTGTCATGATGCCAGAATTTGGTTTGCTTTGTGGAGTGTCATGCAGCCTCTGTTAATTTTGTTTGTATTCACTTTTGGTAGCTGTAAATAAAAGCTCTAGTTTGGATTTGTCCAACAGCTTATCTGTATTGATTTTCTCCTACTGGATAATGACAAGCTGCAGTTCTCCAGAGGGCTCTGGGGATAGAGTGGCAGTGACCAAGAGAGAATGATTAGACGGAATGTAGCTAAGACCAGTAAGCTGCAAGGGTGGTGGTTAAACCGTGACTAGAATGAGAGTGTGAGAGAGTGTCAGCCAAGCGAGGTATGTGCCATGAGCAATGTTACTTTGTGGCCACTGTGTCGTGACATTGCAGGTAAAGGGCTACGTTGGATTTCCAACACTTGCCTGGATGCACAGCAGCCTTTCAAAAGATGGCAAGGGTGCCAAGGATGCCAGTCTTTTGGCAGATATCCACTGAGTGGCCAATTGTTCTTAGAATAGTGAATAGTAAGACAGTGATTACATTGTCCTGCTTAGGCTACTTTTTTTAATATCTAGAGTTTTTATGGAATTCAACTTCTACCAGATGACATAGGTTAACTCTCAACTGCCCTCTGAAAGGACTTAAGCCACTGAAATCAGAGGCAATTAGGGTGTGGCGACAGATCAGTGGCATCTGTATCCCATCAAAGAATTTTAAAAAAGAAAAATGTAACCCAGACTCACTGGAGATGGCAGGTCCCATTCTGAAAGGTATTAGTGAGCCATATGGGTTTTTATAACAACCTGGAAACTTTCATTGTTCAGCCTACATCTTCTAGGTTTATTGGATTCAATCTTGCAGATTGCTATGATCCTTGGGTTACGAGCCCACTAGGCTACTGTATCCCTGATTATTCCATGACTTTCTAACTGATCAACAATGAGTTTTTATTGTAGCCCCTAGCAGTTTCCTTACTCCTAACATAAAACTAATTAGTCTATAATGACCGACATTTTCCATTTTACTTTTTTGAAGTGTTGATAGCATTTGTAACTCTTCAGTCCTTTGGCCAGTTTCTATCTCAAAAGAATGTAATTAGTCTAGCTTTCTTCTGTGTTCTGGAATGCAGATCATGCAACCCTGGTGATATGTTGTTATCAGAGCTGCCACAGTGCTGTCATACTATCTGTCTAAATCCCAATCCTGACTTCATTCTCTTTGCTGAATGCTCAATCAATTAAAGTATATAATTTTGCAATTGCTGAATACTTAAGTGACTAGCATACATGTTTCCTGTAGTGTCACGTAGTGTCATTAACAGACGAAATAGTTCACGAAAGTTTGCAAAATGTTGCTATGACTGAGCTGCTAAAACATTTTACAAGGAAATGGCAGGTTTGGCAAGACCTAATTTTAAACTTATTTCTTTCAAAATGATTAATACAAGTCTAACACCAGACCTGTGGACAGGGTGCAAGTCTCAATTCCGATGTTCTCCCATTGAGTTTAAGCTTCCCCGAGGTTAATGTTTGCTAATGAGTTGCATATGTTTTGATCCCAGGGGAATATCTTTGGACTGTGGGAGGAAACCGGACCAACCAGAAGAAACCCACCTCACTGTGCATCAGTGAGACCAAATTAACCATCCCATTATTTTTCTAAAGTTGTCCATCAGAAATTGCTGTGTTACTTGGAAATTAAATTCTATTTAAGGTGAATTGTTTTGTATACTGATTTTAAACGGAATGACTGAGAATTTCCATTATAGTGAGCATAGTCAACATTCCCTCCATGTTGCTCAGTGAGTACACCATGTGATTACAAGGTTTAAGTAAAAGAAATTCTCTTTGTTGATCATAATGTTTGTCACCATCATGGTGGGTATACTATTAGATTGTGGCAGAGTTTTACTTTGCTTATTTGCTACCCTACTGAGGCAAGGCCCAGATTTTTTTTGGGAGTTACTTCATCATAATGTGACAGTTACCGCATATTGCCAGATTTTCCGTTCAAATGCCCCTGGAAAGTACAGCATAAAGGCCACTTCAAAACTTCTTTTGCT